TTTTTTTTTTTTTGTTTCAATGTGCACGAAATTAAAAATGGTTTAAGAATTTCAAATCAATTGAAATTCATCTCTTTAATTTTTTTTTCCATAAGTTTCAAAATTCTACAATAATTAAGTCAATTAGAAATGCATTTTTCAAAAATCAAGAGGATAATTTTAAAAATAGATAGATTTTTCTTTTTACAGTAACTAAAAAATAATAATATTTTTAAAATCTTTTGTACTCAAATTACGTAAAATAATAATAATAATAATAATAATAATAATAATAATAATAATAATAATAATAATAATAATAATTTTTACAGTAGCTAAAAAATAATAATAATTTTGAAACTTATGTACTCAAGTTACTTAAAATAATAATAATAATAATTGTAAAATTTTTTGTACTCAAATTACTCAAAAGAATAATAATAATTTTGAAATCTTCTATACTCAAATTACTTAAAAGAATAATAACAATAATTTTAAAATTTTTTGTACTCAATTACTCAAAAGAATAATAACAATAATTTTGAAATCTTCTATACTCAAATTTTCAGGTACGGTAATTTTGTCATAATTTTCAGCATCATGTCAATATTTATTTTAAATATACTAGGTAAATTTTTGTTCAAAAACTTTATAATGTATTTATTTAAGCTTATAATGTTCTATAATGTCATATTCAGAAAATATCTTCCATACAAATGTAAACTTTAACGTTTTTAGATATGTTTTTTTAAAAAAATAATTTAGAAAAGTTGTAGGTGACTTCACATCTTTTAATAATAATATAGAAAATTTTAGATAAATTTTACATATGTTAATATAATATTTTAGGAGTTTTTAATTGTTTAAATATACTAATTTTATGTTCTCTTGAACAGGCTAATTTTATAACGTTTATAATAAACAGATATACCATAAATTATATGATATATTAACCCCACATCGTTAATTTATAATTATTATTTAATATCGTTTACCCTCATCTTTAATTTATAATTTTTTTCTTTCTCTTTTAAGAGAGGATCAGTAGTAGTTCCCCACTCCTTTCATTGGGTGACTCGAACTCGATACCTATTTATAATTATTATTTAATATTTTTTATATGTACATCGCACGGGATACGCACTAATTATAAAAAGAAGATAATGAATTTTGTAATTATATATAAGAGGATATGGTTTATCCGTATGCTAGTGTGTAGTGCATATCCCGGTATATGCGGTTTCTCATGCTTATCCCCCTATATATAATTTACGAATGCGCTGAGTCTACGTGGCTGCTTCTGGTGCTTCGTAATCCTACTTGGCGAAGAATCATGCTTCGTAATTAGGTTTGGATAAATAATATTGATATATTAATAATTAATAATCTAGGTTCGGACATTCGATAAATATTATTTAGATAATTTAGGTATTTTAATATCACTTGTACTTATATAACCCTTTAATTCTTTGTATTTCACGTAGTGAGATACTAAGTGACTAACATATCACTGACTTTTGATTTGCTTCCTTTAATTAGCTATTGAATTGTAAATGTCTTTTAAAAGTTTATAATTTTTGTATTTTTATCGTTTTTACATATATAATATATCAAATTAATCATCTTTTGATGATATTCAATTTAACATCCATATTGAATATATTAAATAAATAAATTATATTTATCTTTATAATAATACAAAATAATAATATTTATCCAAATTCATTATAAATATAAAATTATTTCTCAATTGATATATTTATGTTTAATGTAGTTATATGTTCTAAGTTAAAAAAAAAAATATATATTATAATATAACACAGGTAAGTCGCACAAATAAAAAAGTATCATACTAAATATATAATAATATATGTATTTTAATAAAAGATATTTAAATTTTCAATTACTTTTTCTCATTAATTTTGCATTTTAAGAAAAAAATAGTAAACACATGTGTAATACACGGGCGTTGTACTAGTTTTTTCACTAAAAAGTAAAAAATAATTGGACAAATGGTTGTGAGCTAATCATACTTTCATGATTAATTAAAAAAAAAAAAAAAAAAATCATTTCATAGCTTTAACAGCTCAAAATGAGAATTACTAAAACTAAACTAAAGAAAACTCGGACTTAATTTGGAACTTCTCTTTGGTTTTCACTAGAGGAATTTGCACCTCTACAATTCGAAACCATTTATATAACATTTGTGCAGCTCAATTAGATTTATTTATAAAATTGCTATTTGAAGACAAAAATATTACAGATATACTAGCATTGTCAATTAAAGAATTTCTGGACTCTTAATTGTGATTAGATCATTAACTTAAAATAAGATATATCTACCATATTTACACGATCACCATATTTTCCACCATTATCTCAGTGCGAAAAAAAATCGCACAGCGCACGTCTCCATCTTTTTCCCAATCCCAACTTCGATCCCTCTGTCACTGCCTCACCGCCGATCACGGTCCTCAATCGAGGAAGGCCTCGTCCCGGTCCTCGATCACGCGGCACTGAACAATTAGGTTGTTGACTTGCATGTCGTGTTCAATAGATCCATGTTGTACGCCATTTGTTTGCTGGCCACCGGGTTGGACTTGGCCTCCCTTCGGGGTGGGTTCCCCGAATCCCCGCTACTCGACGCCATTGACGATATTTCCGAGGTCGTCTTTTGCAGGCATATTCTTTTCGAGAGGGTTTTGAAGATCCAGCGGTGGCTCGATATTGGGAAAGAGAAGAAATTCGCGAAAGCATGCGGGGTTTTGAATCGGATAATGAAAAGTTATGTGTCTAAAGTGGCGGCGGCCGCGCGGAGAGTCGTAGGCAGTATCGATATACTACGAGGAAGCGTTAGATTTCAGGGGTGTGAGGGTGACGAGAAGAGTGATGATGGTAACACGCTTGATTCGTTGATAGATTGTTTTCATTTTGTATATGTTACAGGTATATGTTGTTATATACGGAGTATATGTTCAGTATATGTTCCTTATAATATAAGATTTATTGTCGATCAAATGTGCTTGATTCGTTGATAGATAGTTTTTATTTTGTATATGTTGCGAGTGTACGTTGTGTGTATATGAAGTATATATTTTGTATATTTAGAAGATTTTTTTTATATAGGGAATATAAGTAACCTGTAGGATTACCCTGTTGGGGTCTTGTAATTTGTTCATTTTGCACTTTTGTGCTCTTTTATATTATCTCTATCGTTTCGAAAAAAA